GTTTTTTTTGTTTCTTTCTCAAATTAATTAATCTTTGAATAAAAAGAGAAAAAAAAAATTCTCTTACCAAAATATGTTCCCAAATCATAAAGACCTTTTTCTGTTCCTGATAAACCAACACTATTTGTTCCTTATAAATCAAATAAAAATAAAAATTTAAATAAATTTCTTTTGAATCTTTTATTATTTTTTTCTTACGTTGTTCTTCTTCAACATACATCGAAGCAATTATAATAGCTGCATCTTCATAAGCAAGTAAACCTTCCATAAAAGCTAATACATGTGATGTTAATGGATGAACATTACCACCTTGACTTGGTTGTGATGAATCTGATCGAACTTCATCTAAAATTCCTCGAAGACAGCTAACTGCCTATAACAAAAAAAAAACGAAACCGAAATTTTCAATTATTGATAATTTTATTTAAATCTTTACTGATAGTTCAAATGTCGCCGATAATATTGTAAATTGTTGTCGTTGAGGAATATCACTTTCCTATTTTTATTTGTCAAAATAAAAGAATAATGATTTATTTTATCAATTTAATGAAAAAAACGCGAATGTACTTGAAAAAGTTTCGAAAATGTTGGCCGAGATTTTATAAACCATTGTAAAATAGAAAACAATCCGTAAACTGCAAATTTTGCTGCATCTAATTTATGTGGTAAATGTTCAATTGATTCACATAAACTTACTGCAACTTCACGCATATGTACTAATGGTAATTCAATTAATTTTGTAAATACACGTGATTGTAAATCATTAGGAAAAACATAATTTAATAAATCTCGATCACGTTGTAAAAGTGCAATAAATGCATCAAGTAATAATATATAATTATTTGTATCATGATCATTACTTGTTTCAATAATAACTGTATCATCCATAGTTGTTATTGATGATGATAATGAAGAATTTACACCACGTGGTAATGTATTTGTAGCTGGTGAACGTATTAAACGACGACTCATTTCACTAAATTATAACAAAAATATATAAACACTCGAAAACTCTTGTTTTTTAAAATTTTTATTGATTTGACTACAATTCTAATCAGCAGTGAAGCGATCGTCCCTCTTTTCCGGTTTTTCTCATTAGAAAATATTCCCCCCCCCCCCCCCCCCCAAAAAAAACCGAGTCGATACGACTTCAAAATACTCCTTGTGACCCAAGATAATTCACTACATGGCATATTAGTCTTAAAGTATTCTAAAGGAGTATCGCGAGTGGATCGGTGAGAGTACACAAAAAAAGTTCTCATTCATATACCTGCAACGAATTGTCCGGTTACCAAAATTTATAAACGATACAAACAACTTCAGATTTATTTTATGCTCACGAACGAATAAAATTTAAATGTGTAGAGTCCGTTGGATCCAGCCAGTTCTACCTATGTGCTATGCATTTCATAAATAAATCCAAATTTTTTTTACTACACTAACTAATGAACGATACAAAAGTCTTCGCACAAATGTCGAGCTATTTTTCGGACGGACGGAGACGTGTTTGATTGAATATATTATGATCAGTCAATGGCTCGCTCTTTCCTCTTTTGAATGAGATACGATTAATTATTATTGCTTGTTCATTAAAAAAATGACACGTGATGAAAGAGAAGTACTCTCACAACGTATTTGCAACTTCTATCATAATTCTGTAAAAACTACAGTAAATTATTTTGAAGAACAAAATACTCCACAAAGAACGATATATTATATACTAAACAAGTATTTAAAATATGGAACCACAAAAGATCAACCTCGAAATGAACGTCCGGTAAAATTATCTAATAAAACTATGAAAATCATTGTTAGATATGTAAACAATCGATGTGGTCTTAGTCAATATAAAATGGCACGACATTTTCAAGTACATCAATCAACAATTTCACGTAATCTTCAAAGATGAACAATGAAGATTAAGAAAAGCGAGCAAGAACAAATTGTGGAAAATTGTATCGCAAATTGTTAAATGGCTGTGATCTGATTTTAGGTGATGAAAAGTACTTTTAATTTGTGTGGAGACAATGTCATCGGCAATCATTTTTTTTATTCTACTGATCTAACTACAGCTACTCCAAATATTAAGTTTCAAAAGAAGGAAAAATTTCAACAGAAAGTGATGATCTGGATGGCCATATCATCAAGGGGAGTTTCGAATGTCTATGTTCACAAAAGCAAACAAACTATTGATCGAGAAACATATTTAAAAGAATGTATTAATAGAAGACTGTTGCCATTTATTGATAAATATCTTTCAGATATAAATTTTCTGTTTTGGCTAGATCCGGCACGGGCTCACTAATCAAAAATTGCGCAAGAACGTTTAAAATCAAAAAAAAACATACCAATTGTTTCTCATGCTGATAATCCACCAAACATGCCTCAAGCTCGTCCAATTGAAACTATTTGGACTTTACTTGAACGAAAAGTATATGAAAATAGTTGGGAAACAAAAAGCTTGGATGCACTGGCTCAAAGAATCAAAACAAAAAGCGAAAGAACTTGATCAAAAAATGTTGCAAGCCATGGTTGAGAGTATTCGAAAAAACCTTCGGGCTATGTGGCGAGATGGACTATATTCAGTTTTGTAAATACATTTTATTGTAGCGTTTTTCGTGTTCTTTCTAATAACGAAAAAAAGTAGGTCTGTAGCTTGTAAAATGATTGAACTATAGAAGTGGATATTTGTGCAAAGACTTTTGCACCGCTTATTATTATAGTTATGATCGTATAGAGACCACGAAACACTACCGTTGACTTTATTTTAAAAATCGGTAGTTAGGAAAAAACAATTTATCTTATCCCATGTGATAAAAACCTGAAAAAAACCGGCGGTTTACCGCTAAAATGAACCGGTTCGCCGATTATCAGTGACATTTAGTTGCTCCAAATTATCGATTTTGTTATTTTAAATATTTTTTTTTTCTTGTATCTTCTCATGTCATAAAAATGCTCGAAAAAGCCGTCGCTTTTACCAATCCGGTTACCAGCTTCCGTTACTGCGATTTACCACTAAAAACTGTCCGGTATTTGCGATATGGGGTGTATATATGACTCTTGTCTTGTCTTGATTTTCTTTTATCACTGTTTTTTATATATGTATTTTTGTTCTAATATATACCCACACATAGTAGTTATCATTTGCTAATATGAATACGAACGAGTAGACAGAAACAAAGTACATAGTGAAAATCTTCACCCTAAATTTGACGACAGTAGTTTGACATTTAAACGGTGAGTTAGTCTCTGACCAGCAATCTACTGTCGACATATCATCAGTTCTTATGAGTATCACGGTAGTGCGACATGGGATGATATTTGAAAGTATTTAGTATTTATGTTATCAATATGAAAAAACAATCTTTAAATAAATCTTTATTATCAAGAAAATAGAAAATTAGTTTATTCAATGCACCAAATTGGATATATTTCAATTTTTTTTTTATCGTATATTTATTTATAATGCATCCTGTATTTAACGCTTCATAAATAATACGCCATACTTCATTCTTATCTCTTATCATTTACTTTCAACATAATTGAAATATATTCTTTCAAAACATTAATAGATCTCAAGTTTCAAATTGATATCTTTCATTTTTTTTTCTATTGACAAGGGGAACCTCTCCAGATGTCAAATCGCTTTTTGACTGAGACGATATTCAATTAAACCTGAAATCGTTTGATTTTCTGAACATTTGTTCTCGAGATAGTGAACTGTTCTAGATTTTTCTACTCATCAAATAAACATCGTCTTAGTCGAAAAGCGATTTGACATCCTGACGAGATTCTCTCCCTCATGAGATATATCTCGTTTGGCACTATACAAAAACATTTGTTAACTTTAAAAAAATGGATAAAATACATCAACGAAATTCTTCAAGAAAATATTCTTTGTATAAGATTTCACTGATTACTAGAGTCCATTGGATTGGTCCAATCTCGACGGTCTCTTGCCATCTGAGAAATGTGTAGGGTGTCCTAGTCATCGAATCCAAAAAGTATCTCATATTTTCGAAGTGACTATCCAATGCCAATTAGAACATTTCATTGAGAATAGCAAAGTACAGTTCGACCCAACGGTCTCTACTGATTAAGAATAAATCACATTCCTTTTTTCTTCTAATACAATCAATCCTAATTATAACATCTCAACTAATCCAACACCACAACAAGTAACCCATTTACGTGCTTATATGTATAATATAAGTGTAAGCAAGAAAAAGAAGAAGCAATGGTTATCATACGACTTACGGTGTTAAAAACCGTCTAATACAGATGAAGAATTATATGAAAACAAAAACAAAAAAAAAAAGAAATTAAATCAATATATTATTTACCCAAATTTTCTTCCTTGTTTTCTTAATGTATCTGAATTTGATTGTCCATGTTGAGACATATTTGGACTTGAGGTAACTGAAATTGTTGATGTACGACGAATTGAAGTTTTTCTTACATGTTCCTCAAGACTATTTAAAAAACAAAATATTAATCTATGAAATTTTTTGTTTTTTGTCGATAATAAAAATAATTTACAGTTGAAGTGAACGTCGAATCATTGTACCTCTTTTAATTGCATAAGAATCAATTAAACCTTGTCGAAAACCATGTAAACTAAACCATTCAATTATTGCTCGTAATGTAGCCATATCAGCTTCTAAAAAAAAATTCCATCATAGTATGAAAAAAAAAAAAAAAAATTAGAAAAATGATTATTTAATTATTAACCTTGCATTGAATGAATATCATTTTTATTTGTTGTATTTACTGATTCACATAATTCAATAACTTCTTTTGGTGATAATGGATTAGCATATCTTAAAATAAGTTTATCAGTTTCTTCAACAAGACGTTTTCGTCCAAGATCATATAATTGTTTAACACGTTCACCTTCTGCAACAGCTGTAACATGTTTAAAATATTTTACAGCATCTTCAAGACGATCTAATTCAGCTAAATAATCTGTTAAATTTCCTCCAGGACCCGATGATACAGTTGGTTTTAATTCCACACATATATCATAATAATGTAAAACAGAATCAATTAATGTTAAACTTTTATTAACATTATTTAAAAGTAAACTTAATTCATTTGTTGCTTCATAAACAGGTGTAACAAGTTCATCTAATGATTTTAATTTACGTTCAAAATTATCTAATGTTGAAACCATACCACTTGTTAAAGCATTTGAACGAGCTAATGATTCTTGTAATAATGCTAAACGACGTTTTTCCTATTGAAAAAAAAAAGAAACAAAATTTATATATTCAACAATAATACTTCATCTCTTAATAAATTATCATTTACGTTTAGATATATATAGGATGGCCCATAAATAAGACAACACAGTTTTTTACTCGGTTTGTTTCTCATACATTTCTAGTTCGATCTCATATTTTTACCACATATACTAGGTCATATAACTCAAAGACCAATGTCTAAGTGTAATTGTTCTTTTTCCAAAAACGCATCAATACACGATAATCAAAAAAGTGACATGCCGATGTTCTAACAAAACTTTTATCAAAGCAATAGAGCAAGAAAACGATACACACAAAAGTAGGTCTTTGTGAAGTATTGTCAGTATGAAATTTTTCACAATAATTGCTCAATGTGTTTGTCTTCTAAGTTTTTATCTTTCAGATACTGATTGATAAGCTCTTCGATATAATTCTACGGACAAGCTTTGTATTCTGTGATAATAGGCATTGTTGAGTATTTTGAAGTTTTATGGCATATCACTTCACAATTTCAATCAGAAATGTTGATTCATTGTTCAACAGTCGAAAATACACACTGTTAGAATTGTGTACACAGAATGGGAAATGCAACGAGAAAAAGAACTAAATCTGCTGATAGCGAAGATGATCATCTGTGTTGTTGTCTACGAGATACCATCACTAGCAGAGAAGACAGAATAATATGGATGTACGTATGTTATGGTAGGAAAAACTATAACTGTCACAACATGTCACTTTTTTTGGTTATTGTGTATTGATGCGTCTTTGAAAAGAAAATGATTACATCTAAATATCGTTTCACTAGTGAATCTTTGAGTATATGTGGTAGAAATATGAAATCGAATTGAAAATATATTAGAAACAAACCAAGAAAAAAAACTATGTTATCTTATTTATAGACTATCCTGTATTAGTCAAATAGTGAAACTTAAGCATGACATATTCGAATGCTAGTCTAGATTCAATAAATCTATAAGAGACATTAGAAAATATTTATTCAATAACTGACTCTCACTGGACTTGTATTATGATTTAATAAAATTTTATTGACTTTTAGTTAAGGCTTTATTTTTTATTTGCGAAATGATACCAGATAGATTTTGCATTTACACTATCGTCTCTCAAAACAGACAAAAACCTTCGATAGATTGTTAGGTTTAATAATGCGCAATACCAGTAGTAGTGACGAAAAAATCGGAGCTATGCCAACATTCTACCGCAATAGTGTGAACAAACTTGCAACATAGCTAGTGACCAAAATTAATACGAACGATATATTTTTCATAGTCAATGAAGTCCTCTAGTAAACTCATGGATGATCTACGGGAGCACGGTTTCTAAAAAAAAGCCGAAAATAGTGAATTTCACGTACTCGAAGAATTTATGAGAATAAGTTTTAGACAGCACAAAATTTTGAGTAAAATGAAGGATTGCCAAATTTTCTATGGTCTTTTTTTAAAAAGTTACAAGCATGACAAAAATGAAAAATGTTTCTTTAGGGATTCCGAAATTCCAGGCATCTCTTCTTTTTGATTGGTTTTCAACAGTATTTTTCTAATAAATTTCGTCTTCTGTGACGCTTGTAACTGTATAACATGGTACCGTCAAAAACCTATTCTCACAATTTCGGTATGGAGTGCATTTGATAGAGAATTTCATTACCTATTCAAATTTGAGTTCAATGCTTAGTATTCATCAAAAATATATTGTTCTTATAATTTTGCCTACTACTTTTACAGATATTGGGCACTGTTTCAGATGCCTAATTTCTTTTTGTTTTTGAAAAAAAAAACAAATATCACCATTCGACTGAACACGGTGAGTTAGCCCTGTCTAGCTACTTATGCGAGTGGTTACAGGTCAATTGACTGATATCATGGGTCTCAGGAAAAGTCTTATAACTCTTAAATGAAACAACCTAGGAATATCGGCCTTGTGTAGATCGAAAGAGAAGAATTTTTTTTTTAATAATCGAATAGTTCTATAAAATTGTAACTCAAAAGAAAAAAATAGCTTAAGAATATCGTTTTCGAAAACCTCTTCTGATTGGTCAATGGTTGATGAATCAAATTTCGACATACTTCAATGCTCCCAGGTCTTCTCTCTTGAATGGTGAAAACCGTAGGTCTCTATGATATTCCGATCAAAAGTTATTCAAAGTATAAACATCGAGACAACTTTTAGCCTTTACAACCTAAATATTTCCTATCTAAAGAATCATGTTTGAAGTCTATGAAAATTTTTTTTTTCTACTTATTGAGATCTATCTATCCTAATCATCATTGCTCTAAATAATATATATTTTTTTTTAATAATAGAGTATTTTCAAATCATAGAGCAAGATCTTAATTCTCACCTCTTGTAATTTCACTTCCGATGTACGTGTATTCATCATTGAATCACCAACACCTGTCATATTTTTTTCAACATAACAATCTGAAAAATATTCATTTTTTTTGTTTTTGAATAAACAAATTTATATGCATATATATTAATAATGGAAATATGTTATACAAAAAAAAAAAAAAGCGAGAAAAAACACAAACAAGATGATTTGTCATGCAAAAAGAAAAACCTGAGATGTTCTTTATTTTAAATAAGTATACATCCTTTTTTTTTCGTCTTAGGTCTTGGACATAAATGTGCACGTATAGCTTCATCAAACACTGTTTTTAAACCTTTTTGTGTCAATGCAGAACATTCAAGATATTTGAGAGCACCTATTTCTTTGCGCATTGATTCACCTTGGAGTGTAGAAATTGGTGATAATTTTTTCTCCTTGATACAAAAGAAACGAATAGAAAAAGAAGAAGAAACCCAAAAAAAAAATATTTACTCGAAGTTTGTCAATAATGTTTTTATCATCTCGTAAATCAAGTTTTGTACCGACAAGAATAATTGGTGTTTCAGGGCAATGATGACTTACTTCAGGATACCACTAAATAAATTTAATTATTACAAAAAAAAAAAAAAAGTAACAAAAACATGAAAGTATTACTTTAGCTCGAACATTTTCAAATGAAGCTGGACTAACAAGTGAAAAACAAATAATAAAAACATCCTAAGAAAAATTTCAAATATTTCTTATATTTCTAAAACAACAAAAGATATTTTACCGTTTGCGGATAAGATAATGGACGAAGACGATCATAATCTAAATATATCATATTACAAAAAAAAAATATCATATTAATAATATGTAAGTGTATACCTTCTTGACCAGCCTAAATAATCATAGATTAAGAAAATTTTCATTTAAAAAAAAAAAAACAATTAAATTTTATTTTCTTCTTACTGTATCCCACAAGCCAAGATTAATTGGTTTTCCATCAACCATAACATTAGCTGAATAATTATCAAATACAGTCGGAATATATTCACCAGGAAATGTATTCGTTGTATAAGATATTAATAAACATGTTTTCCCTACGGCACTAAAATAAAGAATAAAAATTTATTCAATTGAAAAAAACCAAAAAACTTTATCATTTACCCATCGCCGACTACGACACATTTGAGTGCTTGCATTTTTAACTTTCTTTTTTCTATTTATGATTAAATAAACTAATGGATACTAGCATTTAGCAAGAAAAATGATACATTCCCGAATAGATAGAAAGAAAAAAAAACTAATGATTGTAGAATCAAGCAAACAAAGAAAGAAAAGAAAAGGAAATCGTACCAATGAATCATCGTATTAATCATGTTATACATTGCTCATTCAATCAATCAATCAATCTACTATTTTTATATTGGTCCAATCAAATAGAATATCATTCGATAGATGGACAGAGGTCGCATATTAGAGACAATCACTATTACAATTCTTATATTTAAAGATAGAAAGACCTTTTAAAGCAACTAAATATCAATGATAATTAGAAAGATCAAACTCATTTTACGTAAATAGATTATACTACTTCAATGTAGAATATTTTAACAGAACAGAAAAATAGATCAAAGATCTGTAAGGTCATAATATCTTGTTATAACCTTATTTATATAGAATGATTTGGTCTTTTTTTTTTTGTATAAAAAAAATTTCGATGATAATTCATTAAACAATCGTCATCAGATATTTCTTACTACTTTTTATTTCTCAATTATTTATATAAAACTATACAATATTCATGTTATATTATTATTTGCTCGAATAGCAGAAGCAAAATATGATATATAAATATGTGTATTTAATATAAGAAATACTTAAATATAAAATACAATATATAAATAGAAACATGAATAATAACATAAAAAAAAAAGACACATGACATAAGAAAAAGACAACTTGACATCGTTGTTACAAATCTTATCATACAGACTACGTCTCAAGGAAATATTTAAACACATATATATGTTAGAAGACGATGTAAGCATGTCATTTTCTTATATCTTCTGATTTACGACGTTCAAATTTGCAAAGCGACATAGAGATTTTAATAAACTATATTTAGTATAACTAATTGTTATCTTATGAGTTTAGTATTAGATAAAATAGAAAATTCAAAATACATCTAAAGACTAGAGAAGCATTTTACTACGTTAAATATTAGGGATTAAATGAGATAATCAATATATTTACTCAAGTAACAGAATATATCCACACGTAGCAAAGCCATTATTGATTAATACCTGTAAAAGACTTATTCATGATGATGAGTAATGGATAATGTCACAAAAAAAAACAAAGTATATGAGACACAATTATGACGTTACACATGGACAAGATATGCCTAAAAAGTGTGAAATTTCTATTGAATCGTTGTCATTCATTATACAAATTATAACAAAAATATAATGTTGTCGGTTTTTTTTTGTTAGCATTTATTTATTGTATTTTATATTCAAGTATTTCTTGTTTTTAGGAATAAAAGAGATTAAAAATTTGACAGACAGTTTTCTGGTAACAGTTTGAAATTTAAATAAATTATCATTGTTGTTCTGATATCATTTCTCTAGAAATTAATTATGATCAAAGATGCTCTTATGTTACAATAAAACATTTAGTCGTATGTTTTTTTTTTCGACAAATCTTTTCATAAGCTCATATTGATGCAAGACTATTAAATCTAGTTGTCAAAGATAAAATAGACTATGTACTTGTTTTTTCACAACCAAAGGAACAACAAGACTAGCAATGATTTCATAAGTAGATAAGGGCAAGATAGTTCCAGAGTCAAGATTAACACTTTCTTATTGCGAGATGATATTTTTTATGATCCTGTGAGACTTGCGGCAAATGTCACATTCTCACACCTCATATGTCGTAAAAGTTTATGTAAAAATTATTGAATAACGAGCATTTCAAGCTTCTCTGTGACAATTTTTGATAGTAAAATGAATCCTTATTTTCGAACATGTAAATGTGCAGAATGTACGAAATTTTAGTGAAGTAAAAAAAAAAAAGTAATGAATCTGCAAGAGATTATGTAAGATGTCTTGAGCATATGGATATTGTTAGAAAATGATATTATATTTTTCGCTAGTATGTGTATTACAAAGCACGAAACCAGAACCAATCATTTTTTTCTGATTGGGATCGGGACTAAAACGATTGAATTCTGCTCATCACTATTCATAAGCTATAGAACATGAAAGACATTTTTCAATTGATGATAACTAATAAAACTATGGTATGATTAATGTTTACAGATATAGATCTTTAAATTCGTTTTCCATATGCTGTGTATTATAACTTTTCAACATTTATTCATCAACCATTCATAAATGTGTACACCTAATTTTTCGATTGGAATATAACGGGTGGGGCTCATAAACAATGGGACAATTTAATTTTTCGTTTTCGAAAAATGGAAACACTGTTCAAAGGCATCATTCTAAGTTCATGCAGCAGAGAATTTTTCGCTCTACAAAAATGTGAACTTCCTTTTTTTAAATAATTCTGTTCTATTCAACGATCAATTGGAAAGATTGACAGCTTTTTTACTGCCCGACTGCGATCTCCTGCGGACTTTGTGAAAGCTTATACTCTATACTCTCAAGGTTCCTAATGATGTCGTTCAGGTGCAAAATTAGCATTCTCTATCATTATATCATGGGATGTACGATTTAGTTCTGCACGTAATAATCGTAAGATTTAAACCAAACAACGAAAATCTTTAGAGTGTGTCCAATGGCATAGAGCTGCCAGACACAGTCTTTTATGTTGTTCTCTAAGTTTTGCTTGAAAAATTGTTCTTTCAATCAGGATGTTCTAAAACTGTGAAACATCGTGTGATGCAGCATATTTAGAATTTCGACGGAACTGTTATTTAAACATATTTTTAATAATTGTTTTGTTTTCTGACAATTTATTCTTTATGGACAATCTATTATTTTTTTTATTTTTGTTAGATCAACAAACACTTGTAATGAAGCCAAAAATTTTCAAATTATTTGTTGAATAATCATATGTGATTCTATATAAACAGAAAAATACCTTTATGGTAATTACAATAATATTAACAGGATGAAAAAGAGTTTTTTTTTTAAATTAAACAATACGATCTCAATAAAAATACATTATTCAAGAAGGGTGTGGGGTGGGTGTGGGTGTGGGTGGGTGCGTGTGGGTGTGGATAAAAGGAGTTCCCACATCCACCCACACCTACATCCTCAACATGAGACAATGCTGTAGAAAGAATATATTCTCTTAATCTTCCTACGCTGGTACCCACCTATGCAAAAGAATACAAGAGAAAAGTACCGTTGTTGATATCGTTTTTTTGTTTGCGATATAATGTTATGGTCACATGTCATATTTTCATCAATGATTATGTATTCAAATTACTTCTCCTTCCTCCGCATACCAAATCAGTATAAATATTATGTCGATATTCTGTAGATTGTCGGTTGAAATCACAAGTTTATAATACAAAAAGAAATCAGAAGGAATTTCATCTGTTCATCTATTATCAAAACATCATTTCATTCATCGATCAAGGCGCAATGAGACGAAATCATATTGGTACAATTGTATTTATTGTGCTACTTTTGTCTCTGATCTTGACTCCAGCAGCATCTTCTGACTATTATGATATTATTCCGGCTACATCCAGTTCGGTTTGGGTGATGGATAGTGCTGGCAATGTTCTACGTTGTTATCATAATGGATGTCAACTAGTGGCCAAGGTTCCCAAAATTGTTAATAATCCGAATTGTACTTCTCGAATATGTAATGGCTTTTAGATCGACGCAGACGTATTTATTAATACTCAAAACTAAATTGTTTCTCTGTTTAACATTAACTGTTCTAATAGCGGTGTAAATACACTTGAAAACAGCGATCATCATTTTTTTTCTAATAAAAATAAAATCTAGAAACAATGTATTTCTCTTTCAAATCCGTATAAATCTCGTGACTGCACTTCTCCAATGTCTGCTAAATTCAAGGATGACACAATGAAAAATTCATCTAGAAGAATCAGTTAGTGAATACTGCGTTAGATAAGTAGAATGAATTGCAGATGTTGCTCAAACTGTCGTTTATGGTGCGACGCTACAAGAGAATTCGAATATATTGACGTTACATGACCAAGTCAAATGTTGTTATCTTGATTTTCTAGGAATTGCAAAATGTTTTTTCTGATACTATCTTTTAGTACGTGACAAAGGAGAAAAAAAAACTCATTAGAAGTCGATTAATTTTCTAGAAGAGAAGTTTTAAATGTTTTTAAGCTCCCGAATGACTGAAACGAAGGAAAAACTCTGGTAAAGTTACGTATTTTATCTTGAAAAAGCCAATAGATGCTTCTCAAATTTTAAATTTTAGCTCGGAGTAGTCTAGAATCCTGCATATTATAATGTTTCACCTTACCTATTTCTTTTTTCTGCCGTAGCGTATTGATATGAGGTGGATCGAGTATCGATACTGGGTATCGACAATGTTTGATATGCATAATAAATGATTCATACTCTCATCCTTATTTTTGACTGTTTCATCAATAATATATAAAAACATATTTCTTATTCATCTATTGAAATAACGGTTTAAGTGTCTTATTATTACATGAGGCACAATATTAAAATATACAATACATGATAAAAGGTGGGGTGTGGGTGCCAATCATTTCCTAACATGTACCCACATCCACACCCACACCTACACTCACACCCTAATTCGACCGATTGCATAGCCATATGGTTGCATTAGACATTTGAAACCGATTAGAAAAGTTCGTGAACATCTAAAAAGATTTCTTTGTCACAATAGTGAAGAAAGCAGATAACTAAATGCCAGCGTCTCTTTTCGATTTATTTGTAATCTAATTTCTGAACATTATTTAAAAATTCTTCGAGTGACATTTGTCCGTCGTGATTATCGTCAAACATTTGAATAATATGGTCAAAACTACATCCAGATATACGTTGACGAGCTAAAGTAATACCTTGACGCGCTTCTTGTGGTGATATAAGACCATCTTTATTAGTATCGACCTCGTTGAATACTTTTTTGAGTTCTATAATAACCAGAGGATTCTTATATATAGATGTTTTCGTTTGCATAAACTGTTTGAATTGTTCAAATGTAATCCATCCTGTATTATTACCCAATTCAGCAATATAAGTATCGAATGTTGTACTACGAAAATTTTGAAGAAATTCATCAGCAAAGAACAACTTTCGAAATTCGGTCACTGATATTTTACCCGTCTTATCTAAATAAACAAACTGTCATTATTTAATAAACTTATTCAAATAAATAATAAAAAAGAGGCATTTTTTGGAAAATCACTGCATGGGATCAACATATTTTTAGAGAAAAGGAACTAAAACAAACCTTTGTCAATTTTGTCAAATTCTTGTTGGAGATATTTGTCGTTGGATGTCTGTGGTACTGTCATCGATTATTATTTTAGTCGAAATGATGTATGTTGGTGAACTAGAACGAAGAAGAGAATGCCTTCTATATGATCGACGTGATAAAGCAATACAGAAAAGTGAACGAGAAGAAAAGGCAATAATATGATGATATTTTTCGTTTGCATCATATCGCATCAATTTTTATTGATTTTACCTGAATATCTACACAGAATAGAAGAGATAAAATCAAGTAATCAAACTACGGACACTCGGTGCACATGGAATATTTTACGTCTGTCTTAAATCTTTACTCGATTCCGTTGTACATTTCTCTTTTGATGAATACATTTTCAACTTGTAGATACATCGTGATAATGATGACCGAAATTGTTCAGCTATAACTTTAGACTGCGTGGCTATCGTATCATACCCAACAGAATATTAACTTTTATGTATTAAAATGAATCATTCACTAATACAACAGTAACACATAATTACCTTGGTTATACACTGTGTGTAAAGTATGGATTTTATTAGGATTTCGAGTGAACGAAGTATAGAATGGAGGTGAAGTTTTTCACCATTCGTTAGAGCTCATCGAGTTACACTGAAAACATGTAGTACTTTTGTTAGAACATTTTTCTGGGTGAATCAACCCTGAAAAAATTCGAATCTGTAACTAAGATATTTTACGTAGTATGCAAGTTTTCTGAAACATCATGGAAATTTTTTACATTAACATGAAGAGAGTTAATTCTATTCGTCATAATATACTACACAGTTCAACAAACATTATTTTCAAGTTTCTGTGAATATATTGACCAAACTTTCTCTCATTCAGGTGAAGTTGAAAAGATACGTTAAAACTATCCCTTATCAAAATGTGCTGTTCAGTTTACTGATAATTTATTCTAACTAAGTTGTATTTTCGTTTTTCTTTAATGATTTTTGAAAGATCGATTACAGTATGAAGCTGGATGCAGTAGTTTTTAATTGATAAGTTAAAAGAAATGACGATTTTTACAAGTTAAACAAACTGAAAAATTCTTTCTATTCTTTGTTTTCGAACTTAATTCAGCTCTAAGTAAAACATGCATAAAAATCATCAGTTTATGCATCGGTGTCGAATTAAGCGATTTTTGTTATGACAGATTTGTATCAACAACTTGATAATTAATCATGTTGTGAGATGTCTTCTTGGATCTATCAGAACCTATCCTAACATATCTATTCACAAGAGGAACGTAGACTCAAAAGGTCATTATCTAGTAACTCCTGATCTACAAGAAGGAGAAGAAACATTCACAAAGAAAACTGCTTACTCACCTTGTATCAATCAAGAATCTGTGGAAAAATGGATCGAGATGATATTGGTTTTACGGAGAAAGAACGAACAAAAACAAAAAAAAAAACGTAATTGATGTATAAATGTACCACAACCGAGAAAGAGAGAAACGACAAAAAAAACTGAAAGGAAATGGGAACACAAAGACGAGGAGAAAATGAAAGCATGATGTGGGACAAAACTGGATGATAACAAATAATTCATAGAAGACGAAAGAGAAAGGAAAGAAGAAATTGCAGCGGCAGGAAAATCTTACTGTGCCTCTCCTGAAATAGACATGAGTCAAGACCGGAACGAAAGAAAATAAAAAGAAGGAAAATATGAAAAATGAAAGAAAATATAGACACAAATGCACAGTGTATCCAGCTAGTACTAGATTTTGCAACAATATTCGCAACATCTTTGGCGCTAATAAATGTCATCGTTTGATAAAATATCCATGCTTTTGCAATGCTTTTTTAAGAATGATGGCGGACATTAGCTATTTCTTTTCAAATAACAAAACAACTTTACTTTCTCTTCGATATTATAGTCGAGCTGTGTTTTTTTGGTCACAAAGATCTATCATTCTCGAACTTCTCAGTTTCTACGTACTTTCTCATCTTCTTATTCTTAATCTAACATATAATTTTCGTGAGTCTTCTCTTCATTCAAACCCTTAGTGATACAGTTGTTTATGAATATTTGATTCATTTAAAAAAAACTTAATGCATTAAAAAATGAGCATTTTTATAAATAGGTCGAAAATAGAAAAACATTTCTTTTGAGCTCTAATAATCACAATCTATATTGTTCATAAGAGTGTGGGTGTGTGTGTTGGTGTGAATGTGGTTTTAGTCTTTTTTTCTTCCACACTCACACCCACATCCACACCCTCAAGTTAAAATTTAGAAAAATAATGAGCATCATTTTTCAGATGTTTTTAATAAGGCTAGAGAATATATGTGAGTTTCACATTTCAGCACCAAAGGAGCTGCGTTAACAAGCTTTTTCAATCACTTAATACGTTGTATTAAAAACCAAAACATGTTACAAAATACAGCTTGAAAAACTCTATAATTTACTTAAAACTTCTCATTTTATAGTTGCACTTTTTGTATTCACAATGAACAAAAGTTTTAGCAACCGAATTTCGATCGTACGAAAACGGCGTATGTTTAAGTACACGACAAATTTCTTTTCGTATGTTATCTTTTCATCACCCGATATGCTATATTTAAAAACAAGACAAAATATATCACAAGAATTCTTTGGGCACAATTTTCGCCGCTTGAAAAAGATCAATGTTTTTCCTTACACAGAGAAACTCATTTCTTCTTAATTTATATATAAAATAAGTTATTCTTTATAAACTGTAGAGCTTTTCAAGTTGTATCTTGTAGTATGTTTTGTTTTTTAATACAATATATTAAGTGATTGAAAATTGGGATACAGAGTTATTCACTTAATCTACCTCATGCGTTAGTTAAGTTTTACACTAAAACAGTTCTTATCGCAAGTTTTATTACTATGATATCAGTTAAAAAGAAAACATCAAATAGTGTGGAAAAATAGAGCATTCTTTTCTCTATCAGGCTATATAGAGACAAAGTTTCCTAAAGCTTTCTATACAGAAATAAGATAATGACGACATTACTTTTGGTATTCCCTAAGTATAAAGATTTTATGAATATTTATTCTTTAATATAAAGGTCAATAAATATAAAGTAACACCCCTAGTCTGTATTAGAAAGAATAGGATGTGGATGTGATTCCTTTCTTCATTCACACTCAGATCCAGACCTACATCCTATTTTTATTTATTTATTCGTTCTGTTATGCATAATATTGATAAATCATCTCAGAATCACTTGGACTTATAGTTTAAAACTAAAAAGAAAGTCGAACTCGAAGTTAAATTATAATTCATAATTCAAATCTTTTTTTCTGCTCCACTGCGTTTATGCTGTCGATAGTTTTATTCGAAATTTTCATTTAAATTCGAACTGGAATTAGGCAGCTGCTCTTCGGAGCATTCGTAAAATGACTTTCCGTTGATTAAAATTCCTGATATCGATGTTCCGCCATGTTTTGTGACTATTAGTTATTTCTAAATCTTAATGTTAATTGCATCGTTAGTTTTAATAATGTTAGAAACCGAACATACTTACTAATTAAGTGATACTGGCTTGCAAAAATTTTGTTTTCGTGTAGTTGTAACTGATTTTGCTTTGTATTTATCCTAGGCAAAATTAGTTGATTTTTTTCTGATCTATTCTTGTTTTCATGAATCAGTGAGCCATGACATTTTCATCAATTAAGGGGGGGGGGGTGTCCTCACCCTAACATATCCTGAAACTTTGTCAGCTTGTAGAGGGTACATTCAATAGTATAACTATGCAATAGGAAACAAATCTGTCAAATATTGACTGAGTTATTAATTAATTAAGTTGAAAATTAATTCACATTTTTCGCTTGAGAAGTAGTTTTTAAAAATTTTCTAGTTTTTCATGGGTATATTACTTTTAATTGATTCTAGTGTAGTTTTGTAGAGAATTGTCTGTAGATACAATTCCATATTTAAAAAGTTCAAAAATGATTTCTCTAAGTACCTTTTAATTATTAATTAGCCTTAATTAGTGCTAATTAATAATAGTGCAGCGGAAAAAAGTAAATTTTTAAAATATTAAAATAAATGGAAAGAAATTGTTTTTTAAGTCATTCGATAGAGCTTGAAAAGCTCTATTGAATGCTGTATCCCTTTCTTTTAAAAACTTCTATTTTTGAAAAAAAAAATCCGATATTGGGGACAAGATGCGACAAAAGCGGCTCGTATTAGGTAATTTTCACCATTATACTTTTGTTTACGGCCAAAATGAATATGATATTCAGAATCAGCATCGAAAATTGACCCAGAAAACATGTTTTTTTCTGACAAAAAAAAATTTTCACCGAAATCGAAAGTCCATGGAGCCACAGGCGAAATCATATTTGAAAAGGCTGAAGAGGTATACGGGCGCAATTTTGTCAGAAAAAAACATGTTTTCTGGGTCAATTTTTGATGCTGATTCTGAATATCATATTCATTTTGGCCGTAAATAAAAGTATAATGGTGAAAATTGCCTAATACGAGCCGCTTTTGTCGCATCTTGTCCCCAATATCGGATTTTTTTTTTCAAAAATAGAAGTTTTTAAAAGAAAGGGATACAGCATTCAATAGAGCTTTTCAAGCTCTATCGAATGACTTAAAAAACAATTTCTTTCCATTTATTTTAATATTTTAAAAATTTACTTTTTTCCACTGCACTATTATTAATTAGCACTAATTAAGGCTAATTAATAATTAAAAGGTACTTAGAGAAGTCATTTTTGAACTTTTTAAATATGGAATTGTATCTACAGACAATTCTCTACAAAACTACACTCGAATCAATCAAAAGTAATATACCCATGAAAAACTAGAAAATTTTTAAAAACTACTTCTCAAGCGAAAAATGTTAATTAATTTTCAACTTAATTAATTAATAACTCAGTCAATATTTGACAGATTTGTTTCCTATTGCATAGTTATACTATTGAAGGTACCCTCTACAAACTGACAAAGTTCCAGGGTATGTTAGGATGAGGACACCCCCCTTAAGTTGCTTTTTTTAATTAATGCTGTGCTCGTATTCCGTTCTTTCTACGGTCTCTCTTTTTTTTCTTTCCGTTGAGTTTTGTATGGTTACGATGAGAAAATATGCACTGGTATTTGTGGCCATATGCACACTACATTTGTATCGCGAAATCTATTTCTCATAAGTAAACAAAATAATAGGTTTTTTTTTAATCATGTATTAGAGATTCTACTGCAGTGTTGTTGAACAGCGCATCAGATTCACAACAATGACTTGTTCTACCGATCATAAAAGAATTTTTTCAATCAAAAAAATCAATTGTTTAGAAGTTCATTTTATAATATGATGGCAGATTATCATTACTGGAAAGAGTCCACAGACAAGTACAAAAAATTATGTGCAAGATCATAGCGATTGTCATAATCAAGTGTCAAATGAATGACGCTTTGTGTTGTTTGTTATAACGTTGTTTGTTGCTCGTGAGTCGTTTATCAGGCGATGTATTTAAAATAGATATATCCAGATAGAATTTGTGACGCACCAGAAAGATACCGAATATTTTATGGAAAGTCAAAGACGGTTCATCGCTCGACGGACTGTGTGTGGGTATAGATGTTACTGTGAATTTGGCTGCTCATATGTTTGAATCTTCTCCTGAACTACGACAATACTTACACCCAAAATTCAACGACAACAAAAATTTCAATAAACTAAAACTAATGGCAAAAACAACAGTTTTGTGATCATGTTGCATTAGGTACCTGTAAGAGCGCGTAACTATTGACAATATATCATTGTTATCTTAGTGGCAGCGTTTCAAACATTATCCTTATACCCGATGATGTAGTCAGAAAGACCAAATATTATTTCAATATTGGTGAATTGCTGAATTCTTTTAGTTTGTGCTAATATTGAAAAATAGATGTTTTATATAACACATGCAACTTTACTTTTTTTTTAGCTAAATAGAATTACTTGAATTTCGCTCTGTTTTATTGAATTCTATGATAGTGTGACGTTACTGATTTTCAAATTGTATACGTATTTAGAATTCTTTGAACTTTTTTGAATTATCGATGTTTGAATCATGAATGTGTTGCTATAGTTTTTGTATTTCTTAAGAACTATTGTACAAGAACATACGACAAAGATATGAGAACAATCAAATAGTGAAATATTATTTAGTTTTATTCAATAGAATGAATATTAATTTTTCTACTGATTTATTTCATATGTGAATCTAGTTACAAATAGAAACGACTAATAAACATTTAAAATCAGTTTATTAAATTTCACTTTCACCTTAGCAAAAATACTTCTGTTATTAGCAGAGAATGGATGAGATTGAGCTTTGTAAACACATGATTATTCTCAGTCTAGCTGAAGTAATTTATTCTTATATATGTTATTTTTTCTCATATCTTTGTACTACGTAATTTGACTGATCTCAAGCAATACATCGATGACAGACTTCATCTTTTTTTTTGAATAGCAGAAATAAAAACACAACAACATCATTGAAGACTTGGCTTGATATCGTTAGAAACACAGAATTTTATCATGTGAAGGAACAATGGTTAGTGACATCCAACTTTGATCCATGATTGCATAATTATATTGAATTTTTTTTCTAAAAGTGCAAGTATCAAAAGACAGAGAGAGACACTACTAGATATATACATTGAGAACGAAGAAAAAACAACGTTTTGCACATATATATCTCCATCAATATCGCCATCTTCTTTTTTTTTCTTTCGTATGCATAAATATAGTGCGTGACATCACTGTGAAGGTAGATTGTTTAAATAACTGAATAGTGAAGAAAATGAAAAGTAAATTACATTTTTTTTTCTTTCTTTCCCTTTCATTCTATGTTGTCAAGAGAATCTTTTTTTCGCTGTATGTGTCCATATTTTGTAATGAGTCAGCAAGTTTTAATGAATAAGGATGCGTTCAAATCAATCTGAAACTGTTCATTGAATTTTACGAATTTTTTCTTTCGAAAGTTCAATAAAGGTGTGGGTTTGAGTGTGCGTTGGAGTGTGCATGTGAGTGTAGATGGGTATGAGTGTAAATCTAAGTCCGAGTGGGTGTCGATATGGACGCTGATGTTAATTCAAAAGTTGACATCCACAGCGATCCACATTCACACCCTATAGATTCTAGAATTCAGGAATCCGTTGGATTCTGCTATTTATACCTTGTATATTCACAAAATTAAAAAAAAACTGAAATTCTATATTAGATGTTGCCCATAGATAGATATAATAACCCTTAGAATATCTTGCAAGTTTCAGCCAAAATGAATGTTCCTATATTGGCATATTGAATTTTTAAGTAAACTTGATTTTTCTAGTAAGCCATTATTTTTTGGAACTTCAACATGTCGAGAGAGAGAGAGAGACATATATTCTAGCTGAAATTTTCTAGATATTCTTTGGATGAAATCTGAAGACGAAATTTCATTGTTTAAATTTGCTGAAAATATCTCAAAATCAGCCGAATATTGAACAAAATAACTATAACTTGACCTCACAGAACCATGAGGAAGAACCTTTTTAGGGCTTTGGTAGTCACACATAGACTTACTTATAGGTCTGAGAAGAGCTCAAACAACATGTGTCACTTGGAATGGTTTTTTCGTTAGGATATATATGGAACAATCAACTATCTTCAAATTGAACAATTATTTATCGAGTGTGTTGTCTGTTAAAAAAAATGAGTCTCGGCTGTTTTTCGAATAACTTGAGAACAAAAGTAGCTAGCGAGCTGCAATTTTCACCATTTTGTAGAGCCTTAGTTACTCTATCGATTCCTATATAAGGCATTAAAAAACTAAGATTTCCACACTGTTTGCTAAATTATAGAGTTTAATGATTTAAAAAAAAAATCAGAAACATCAATCAGCCTGATTTGGCCTGCTGGCAGCTCTGATACGCAAAATAGACATCAAAGCAGATAACATAGAATGTGTGCACTCATATTCTTTCTCTCTCCTACGTATTATCTAACAAAAGATGCAGATATGCAAATCAATTTTTATAATAAAATACGTTATTTTCTTCAAGAAAACTTCACAAGAAGAAAATATATAATTTATCAAGTCTTTCTAGATTCCAAGAGTGCTTGGAGTTCTTTTCAGTTCCAATGTCCTGAAGTCTCCTCTTCCTCGTTGAAGAAAAAGAATAATAGCAGACCGCTCATGATAAGAGACATTATATTATAAATGCATTAATTATTCAAATGAAAAATGAATATATTTAAATTATACATGAGTTTAAAAAACGTTTATATTTATTTTTTTCTCAAACCATCATAAACTACCCCAGAAGCAACGTAGCCAGCAACAGTACCTGCGGCACCACCACCAGCTACTCCTAACGGCGTAGGCATTGCCACATACCCTACAACTCCACCTGCTACATCACCGACAGCACCGCCCACTGCGCCACCAAATTCTATTGGACACAATGACATCTTGTTCGTTTGACCTGTTTAAGAAAGTGTTAATATTAATTGATAGTAAATGAGTTCTTTAAGACAATGTTTACAAGGGTTAAGATCTGCTCTAGAAGCTAAAAATCCTGCTTAAATGAACATAACACTTATTAGATGACACATTGTGTGTATCTTTGTCTGTTGAATTTATCTCATAGACGCTCTTTTATGAACACATTATAACCACAAAGAAGAAAAATCAATTGGAATAGATCCTTTGTTAACCGAGCAATAAAGCCAATAAAATTCTTACCTAGTAATTAATTGTCAAGTGTGTCTCTGTAATCCTCGAAAAGCACTAAACATATTTGCACAATCTCGTCGCATCTTAATATACTTCATATCAATTGTATATTACAAAAGCTGAGATTTTTTCCAAGATAATGAATGAATCAGTAGTGACATTGGAAATTCTTCAGAAAGAAAAAAATCAATAGAATGAGATAAGAAAGAACAAATGAAGAAGAATCTGGAAGAGAAGAGAAAGAGGAAAAGAATAAAGCTTATGGCATATGAATATCCTCGCATTTTTCTTGATATTACACATATGTTTGAGAAATATCATAAGATCAACTTGACAGAAAATAGATATGAAAAAACCGCTTAAGTGACTCAGCCAACATTGACTTATTATCTTGGAAAAAACCGAATCTACGATGACTGTAATAGACAAGAAACATATAAAAGCGAATGTAAATGAAAAAATACTCTTAGTGTTCTTCGACAATTACAAAGATTTATTCCATGATTAATAATTGCGTGAGTAACTGAATAATAAGAATAGATAAGTTCAGAAACAACACTAGGGACAAGTCTTACTGTTCAAGTATATTAACTTGAGATATTCCTACCATTGCTTAAGAAACAAAATCCCTTCACAAATAAATCAAAGAAAACATATTTATACTCTATTTTCAACTTTCGAGAATCTGATCGACTCTCTTTTTTTCAACATGTTGCTAAGTTTTTTCTTTTTTTTCAATAATATATAATTTTCTTAATAGATAAACTGAAAGTCATGGCTTTGAATCCTTTAGCATGGGGTGCCGTGGTGGATAGTGCTGCTGGTGGTTTATCTGGTAGAATAGCAAAAATCATCACCGATGACAAGGCTGCAGGTCAATTGGCAGGTGCTGTTGCTGGAACTGTAGCTGGTGGACTTGCAGGAGGCGTGGTTGGTGCCGCAACGATTAGTGTTCTCAGTACAACAATGGGAGCAGTTGGTGGTGGTTGTGCTGGAACTATATCAGGTTCAGTATTAGGATATACAACCGCAGGAATGACTTATAAAGAAGATCCTATAAAGAAATAAATTGACGATTTCTCTCGATATGGTAAATAATATTATTTCCACTGGTTTTATCTGAAATATTTGTTGTGTTGTATATTTCTCGTATTTAAAAATGATATATTCGAGTATGAAAGCTGTCAACTAAATACTCACTCTTGAATAAATTCTAAAATATACAATATTTTAATTAAAACTAATTCTTATAGTTTGAAAGGTGTCATACCGATAAATTGTTTGCGTAGAAATTTTTTAAGTATCAAAACATCGTTTTTCTACAATCAGATCATAGAAAACTGGAAATATCAAGCTAGTCGAAAGGATAACCTTGATAAATTAGAGTATCACAAACATCATCTGTGTGTTTAATGACAAGTGATTTGAGAAATAAATCTATTCGATGGTGATAGTATTTAAAGGTAAGAACATTTTATTTCTTATATTGGATTAACTTTAATAATATGTTCTATTGATTCAGGTGTAAGACAATGTGAACATTACAAAAAAGTAGTAAGACGGATTAAGTGTTTAGAGGAGAAATAGATTTGTCATTTTTGATTATTTTTCTTCAATTATAAAATAATATCATTTGATTTTTAGTGGAATGAAAATGATTAATTGATTTTTTTTTTATTAAAAAAGACAAAAAAATTTACTTGAACCCAGTGAAAAATTTTAGATTATGGTAGATTATAATGGATTTTTGTGCAACAAAATCAAAATTATAATCGGCTGAAATCTTCTAAAATCAAGTATAATTTTGATTGAAATCATATCAAAATCAACAACTTATGATTTTAATCAAGATTATTTTTAATTAAAAATTAAATTATCGTTGATTTTAGAAGATTTCAATCGATTATAATTTTGATTTTGTTGCACAAAAATCATTTATAATCTACCATAATCTGGTATAATGTGACATTTTTCCATTGGGATTGAATTAATAAAATATGAAAAAAAAATGAGTTAAGAAATAACACAACATGCTAATTTTGGTTTGTGAATTTTTTTTCGATAATAACTTATTTTGTTTGATGGATATTGTGTAATAATATTATTCGAATGTGATTGAACAAGATCAGATCTTGGAGGTATACGAATTACTGGTTGATCAAAACGTTTTGGAACAACTGGTGGAGGAAGAAGAGATGGAGGTGCATCATATCCGTTAACACGTGATGATGGAATTGGTGGAGCGTGACGTTTGTTTATTATATGAGACTTTCGAATAGCTGGTGGTGAAGGTGGTGGAGGAGCTGAACCAACTGGAATATCAATTAAACGAAATGGTAAATCTTCAGCTTCAATAAAACGTGTATCGTTTCCCATTTATTCACTTACGTCAAAAAAATAACTGTTTCTTTTGTAATAATAAATAAAACTTCAACACATATCAATAGATAACGTTTCATCACGTTTTTTTCTCATTTCTCTTCCTCTTTGATCGACGACCTTCTTCTCATAAATATATACATAGTTATTCATTTTTTTTTCTTTCTCTCATTTTTCTACGCATTTACTCAGATGATTTTTATTGACACTCTATTCAATGATTTGTATTTGTTGATCTAAACTGTAATAAGATCTTTTCTAATGTTATTTATTTCCAATAGAATTGTTCTTTGGAAGAAAAAGAAAAATGTTTACAAAGAAGATGTCATCCTTTATTTTCAATCAATGAAAAAAAAACTTTAGTTTGATATAAATCCAGGAGAGAGCGTAGTAGGAAATAAGTACGAAAAAATGAAATAAATAACTGCTGTAAATATCATTTTTAAAATTTTACTTCAAACAGAAATAAAAAATAGCACATTCGAACTTTCGCGTCCTAGTCTGAACACATCATCAGGAATGATGATGACAAGTGAAAAATTGCAATAAACAGAATACAATTAAAGGAATTACAAGAATTTAACAAAATATGACATTAGCATTTGAATGAATATATAAGTTTTTCAATAAAAGTAGAACATGAGTTCATTGTTTGATAATTAAACGAGAGTATAAGTTTACAGATAATTTTAAGTTTATAGTTGAGGAATGTGAGTAAAGTTACATTTAATAAGAATATGACTTAATAATTAGAGAAGGATTTTTATTTAATTGTATAAGTTGAGTAACAAAAGTATAGGAATATGAGTTGACAAATTTGAGAAAATAAATAGTTCTGTAAGTTAATGTCGAATATAGATATAAGTTTAATTTAGAAGAGAAGAATGAGGATTTTTGAATTGAAAGAATATTGTGAATGAGTTGCAAGAATGGAGTTTTTAAGTGAGTGAGAAAAACATTTAATTATTTAAGTTAACCATTAAATTATAATATATGAATAAGAATATGAGTTAATAATGGAAGAAAAACAATATTTGGTTGTATAATAAGATTATATGTTTATAATAAAGAATAATATGAGTTGATGGTTTACGTTGATAAGAATATAAATTTCCAAATTAAAAAGAGTAAGTCGACATATTGAATAAGAATACATATTTATATTAGATAAGAATAAATGTTAGGGATCAAAGAAGAATATAAGTCAAAAATTAATAGAAATATGAATTGATAATTAATGTTTTTATTGAGAAAGAAGAAGAATATAAATTAAATTAATAGCGTAAGAGCAATTTTTTTTTTAATTTAATATTCGAATAATATAATTAAATATATTATTAACCAAAAACTCGAAGTATGTGTTTTACATCATTTATGACGTTTCCTTGAGTTCTATCAGTTACAATACTTTCTTTTATTGTGCGTCTTCTCCAATTAGTTTCATATGCAAGAGTTTGAACATTTGAAAATTCAAATTTATGCTTATGTTTTATAATATGTTCTACAAGTTTAGAGTCTGATGATAGTGATTTTATTTTTTTCTTTATGCTCTCTCATACGAGTTTCTTTATTTCTATCTGTTTCACCTATATATACTCTTTTGCAGTTTGAACATGGAATTAAATATACTAATTTCTTATTGATTTTCTCTTCATCCTTACCTTTAATTATTGGTAAGAAGATATTCTTTAGATTCATATGTTTTTTAAAAGCAAACTGAATTTTTAAATTCGGTAGTAATTTGCGACATTTTTTCTTTACTCGAGCTGCAAATACAATAGATTCTTGACCATAATATTTTATTGTGAAAAAAGTAACATTTTTATTTTTGGAAATGTTTGTTGTTCTGATTTCAGTATGAGATATTCTTTTTATGAATATTTCTCCTTATTTGATACCTCTTTTTATTGTATGTGGAGGATATCCATTCTTTTTTAATGTTTCTGTTAGTAGATGTAGTTCATTATTTATTATCTCTTGTTTGGAGCAAATTCTCTAGATACGTATGATTAGTGTTTTAATAAGTCCTAGTTTATAACGACGATTTTGGCAACTGTCCCAAAGTAGATAAAGTTCAGTATGTGTCGGTTTTCTATACAGTGATGTTATAAGTTGGTTATTCTTACGAGTAACAAGAACATCAAGGAAGGAAATAGAATTATTTGATTCAAATTGAAGTGTAAAGTGTAAGTTTTTATGCCATTTATTAATACGTGGGTGAAAGTCTAGAATTTTAACTTTAGGAATAGCGAACAGACAACAGATATCATCAACATATCTTAACCAAATTATAGGTTTGTTAGTAGTAAATTTGTTTAGTTTTTGCTCCATTTTTTTGCATCCATAAATCTGCTAAAATGGATGCTAAAGGATTACCCATAGCAACACCATCCACTTGTTTGTATATGTGATTTTGAAAACGAAACGGTGCTTCTGTTATCGATAACTCTAAAAGTTTTTTCAGTTGATCTTTAGTGAACGGAACATTTATTAGTTTAGTTGGTTTGTATATAAAGTCTAATGTGATATTAATTGCTTCCTCGACTGGCACATTTGTGTATAGATTATTGTACGTCGAAACTACATATAATATATGTTTGTTGTTTATCTAATATTGTTGCTTTTATTCTTTTTACAAATTCAAATGAGTCTTTTATTTATATATGAATTAGCTTGAGGACGAACGTTCCTAATAGCTTTTTCTAGATATTTTAATAATTGATGTTGATAACTTCCGATTGTTCACATTATTGGACGTAAAGGGTATCCATTTTTACGTATCTTAGGAAGCCCATAAAAGACTGAAAGTGATGAACATGTAGATTATAATTGTAAACGAAGTTTTTGATTTATTATACCTTCTTGAAATAGTGAATATATATATTTATTTAATTTATTTTCTCGTTCTTGATGAAATTTACTATTATTTAAAGCCTGAAATTGATTACCTTTTAAGATTTCTTGAGCTTTTTCGATATATGATTGTTTATCTAATATAACTATCGAGTTTCCTTTATCTGCTTTGCAAATGACAATATTTTCATTAGATTTTAGTGATTTTATAGCTTCTAATTCTTCATCTGATAAATTACTAAATTTCTTATTCTTAGCTGTACGTATTAATTGTTGTAAAGCGTTATGTAATTGACGACAGAATAATAGGAAAACTGATTCATGAGATTGAGATTCTATTTTCATAGCATTAAGTTCAATATCTGTTTCAAATTCTAAAATATTAACTACTTTATTCTCCATACAAAAATCCCAACCATGACAAAGCAAACGTTCCTCTATTTGAGAAAGAGTGTATGATGATATATGAATCCATAAGATCTCCATTATCATTTAAATCATCGTCATCATGTGTACGTAGAGATGAAATTGATGAAGATATTGTTGACGATGCTGGAGACTGAGGGGAATATTAAGGGAATGTTGGACTATAACGTGATGAACCTATATTTGGACTATAAATTGGAGATATTGGACCAGAAATATAAAATAATTAAAAAAAAGATAAGTTATTAAAATAACAAACCTATAACGTGGTGATGGGTGTGGGTGTGAGTCTTGAGTTCACCCACACCACACACCTACTCATACCCTCTTTATTGACTTCTATTGGTTGTCTGAAATCAAATGATTCATGCTTTCTATAGCAGATATTGAAGTTACTGATGCACTTTGATGCGAAAGGTCGGGTAACGGGTAATTTGGGACGATAATATATCAAATGGTTCAGAATTTTATTCTGATTCAGATGTATGGTCTCTGTTTTGGGGCAAACTTTCCAGAGATCTGATCGAAGCAAAACACTTTTCGATAGTACCGACCTCTTTATTTTTTCTGTGTTATTGGTGTAGAAGACAAGTAATGCTGTTTTTATTTGTTATTTTCATTGAGAATAACTATGACAGGAAAAACAACGTCCAGTTCTTCTCATTCACAGAACATTTCGTTTATTCAACGTTTTGGTTCAGCACTTTTTTATGGTATTTGTTCGGGTTTGATTACTGTTGTTAATAAACTTGTCCTTACTTCATATGGGTATATTCTTTAATAATCGAAGATTTTGTAAACAGGTTTTTTTCTATATTATAAAATAGATTTCCTTCATTCCAACTACTTGCCATTGGGCAGGTATGTACTGATAATGGTTAATAACCATCTATAGTTTTATATACGTATATTGTATTTATTCTTCTATCCATAATTATGAATATATTTATTATCGTTTAGTTAATAGTGTCTATTATTGTATTATATGTGGCTCGTTTATTGAATATTGTTCATTTTCCTCAATTTTCTAGGCATATTTTTTTGAAGGTAACTTTCTTATTATTTTTATTACAAATTTTTTTTGTTCGTATTATTAATGTAGATAATGCCATTGCCAATATTTTTCTTTGGTAATTTACTTTTTGGTTTAGGTGGTACACAAGCAGTGAGGTATTTTTGTTTTTATTTTTGTTTAATACTTATCTTTCGAATAATTAATTAATAGTTTACCTATGTTTACTGCATTACGTCGTTTTTCAATTTGGACGACAATGATTGGTGAACAGTTTATACTGCGGTAAAATTTAATTTTTAAATTTATTTGAATGAAGTTCTGTTTTTCTTAGAGAGAAACAATCTTCTACAACACGACGAAGTGTTTATTTAATGCTGATAGGTGCAGTGATTGCATCACTTGATGATTTAACATTCAACTGGTTTGGTTATATATTTCTTACAATTAATAATGTTTGTACAACTGCTCAGGGTGTTGTTATGAAACAAAAATTAGTTAATAAAGTAAAAATAAATAAAATAAAAATAAAAAAAATATTGTCTTTTTTTTCTATTTTATTTTAGGATTTTAATCAAAATGGTCTTTTATTTTATAATTCATGTATTATTCTTGGACCTACAATATTATTAGCTTTATGTACTGAAGATCTTAATAAAGTAGAAATTTTTCTTATTTTAAAAAAATATGAAAAATTTTTTTTTTGTTTTCTAAATTTAGGTTTGGAATTATAATCGTTATTGTGATATTGGTTTTATATTTGCTTTTTTTTTTTCATTATTAATGGGTTTTTTATTAAATTATTCTACTATGTTATGTACAAATTATAATTCACCATTAACAACAACAGTTGTTGGTGCTTGTAAAGTTTGTTTGATTTAATTTTTGTAATTATTGATTTTTTTATTTTTTTATTTTAAAGAATTTATTTGTAACTTATCTTGGAATGTTTATTGGTGGTGATTATATTTTTTCATTTGTTAATTTTATTGGACTTAATATAAGGTAGTTAATATCTTATAAATTAATTAGAATTCTAATGGACAGATTTGATTATGTTTTATCATTTCGAACTATATTAGTCATCATGTACCTGTAAAACAAGATAGAATTCAAAACGTATGGTCCAAAAGTAATTCTGCAGTCTTTAATTGCGAATAACTTTTGATAAAAACAAGATATATTGTTTTCAACTGGAATATAATTAATTATTTTTGTGGACACGAATGTTCATTGTTACCTTGATATTTAATTGTAAAACAATCTACATAAATAAAAATTCAAGTAACTACGAATGTTCATGTCTACAAAAAGGGCAACCTAGAATGGATGTCCGTGAGTAGATGAGCAAAATCATTTGTTAGGGACGTGACGGAGTGCGCACATAGAAATGAAAAGTTTAAAACCAATTCGAAACGGTACACAAACCGTTCTTTCGAATCTTTTGATGATGGTAAGGCAAAAATTTTTGTTTCGAGACTTGATAGGATCTTTAGAAAATCGTTTTTTTTTGCTCGCATTGGCCATAAAGATATTTGCTAATTATTTAGACTATACATGCTGAAAAATTAACCTTTTAGTTTTCATGAGTTTCTGTCTTGAGGAATCAGATAATAATTTTTATTTCAAATTGAAAATAAACCTTATGGTACCCATTGTATATTCATGCTAAAATGGCTCAGATATGAGCAAAATGATTCCGCTCATGTCTTTGATTCATCATTTCTTAATTTTCATTTCTCTAGTGCTACTGGCAGTATTCTTTATTCTTGGGTAACATTTACTCAAAAAACTTCATCAAAAATTACAAATATCTCTGAGCCATCAACTGTGATATCGGAAAAACAAAAAGGTATGTAAAGTTTTATTAGAAAAATTACTACGATAAATATGTATCATTTTTTAAAATTTCGAAACTTGTATGTTATTGAATATCAATACTATATTTGTCTATTTGTTTAGACGAATGAAATTCATTGATATTGATCATTCGAATTGGTGATATTACATCAAGACTGTCATCACGATTATTTCGATCTATTTGTATTTGTTGTTTTTTTTTAAATACTTATTAAATTCTAAACATTTTACTTTTATGTGGTTCGTATTTTTTAGTAAAAATATAATGTTTCAATTGAAGACAAATATTTCTAATTGATACTCATTCGACAATTGATTCACATTGTTTATGAAACTTGTTAAAGTTATGATTTGATCAGAAAATGCTTCTACTAACGGTATGTTCAACGTTTGTTGAATAACTTTTGATAGAAACAGACTTGCGGTTTTCACCGTTCAAGAGAGAAGACCTCAGGAAAAGTCTTGTAGCCTTCGAATAGAATCAGCGAGAAATGTCGGTAGAACCCGTCGAGTCAAAAAATTTTGGACACGGACCTGATCTCGAATTGTACTCTTGATACTTAATAAAATTTTTTTAATTCGCACTTGGTAACACCCTCAACAGTTCTTATAAAAATCAACTTATAATTGGCTCTTTTTTCAAGAGTAGCATCCATGAAGTCAGACCCGGACCGAGTTTGGAACCAACCCCATAGGTTCTAAATGTTGACCTTGTGTAGATCGAAAGCGAAAAATTTTTTCTATCGATTAATTCTAATAAAAGTCTAAATCGAAAAGAAAGTAGATTCAGAATATAGTTTTTGAAAATCTTCACTAAGAACTCATCTGATTATTTATTTAAGAAACGAACATGAAAATTTTTTTTTTAAATCATCAATAATATGATGATTAAAGTCTCACAACTTGTTCTTTGTTATATTGATTTTCATTGTTGTCGAATTGTGGATTGATATAGTTAGTAAATCTTTCAACTGATTGTTCGTTAAGTTGAATATTATCATTAAATAATCGTTTCGATCGATAAATTCGAATACTAAATGAAAAAAAGAAAATTCTATTCAATATGAATTAATATAATTTCGTTACTTAATTAAATTCATTTTTTCAACATCATCTACTGTTTGAGGTAATGGTTGATTTAATGTTTCAGGAAATATTAAAGCAAGTAGAGCAGCAATAATTGATACACTACCATAGAAGAGTATTGGAAGATGAATCCATAAACGTGTCTTAAATAAAATTTTTTTATTATATAAAAATTATCAAAAATATTTTTAATTTTGCATACTAAATTATCGTTAGAATAAGTTCCAATAATAGCACCAATACGTGCAACCATTGAACAAATACCCATACCAGTATTTCGTACATTTGTTGGAAATAATTCATTTGCATAAATATAAATGATTGCATAAGAACCGGCTGATAAAAATTTTAATGTACCATTTATTATATTCAATAATAATAGTTGACCTAAATTGAATATTTCAACAATAAAAAAAAAAATCATCCATAATAACAAACTTTTGCCATCTTTTTCCATTAAATATTCAATAGGAAGTATTAATATTGAAACAATACAAAAAAGAATAAGAAAACAAACATAAGGAATTTTTCGACCAATACGATCAAGAATTAAATGAACAAAAATATATGAAAGTAATTCAACAAATGCACTTACACCAAATGATAAATATGGATTTAATTGCCATGATCCTATTTTTATATAAAATAATATTATCAATTAGCTAGGTAAACAAATAAAATATTTAATAGTCTGTTGATTAATGTATCAGAATAATTTCAAGTTACACTGATCTTTTAGTTATAAAAATGATATCAGCACTAGTCGATAATTAAGAATGTCCCGAACGTGTGATCTGCCAACCTTGAAAAGTTTTTCGTTTTTCTCCCGAGTTTAGCGATTTTCTTTCTAGCTTCTTTTTCTCCATTGATCAGTTATGATTCTTTTTAATCTTAAAGCTTAGGTAAGACTCTATTCTGAAGTTTAAGATAGAAAGAAACTTGTCTGATTGACTAGAAAAATAAGAATCCTGAAAGAATTATAAAATTTATTGCAGTTTAGACAAAGAAAAAAAGAAATTTTTTCTCTCACTGTTAAGACAAATGTCGTGTGATTTCTATGTGTGTATGTATAAAAATAAATGTCTGTACCTAAGGGGAATTG